CTGGGGGGCATCAGGGACAGCATYRCCAGCCAGGCAGGGGAGGGGATTGTCCTGMTCTGCTCTGGGCTGGGGCAGCCTCACCTCGAGTGCTGGGGGCAGTTTTGGGTGCCACAGAACAGGACAGATATAAAGCTGTCAATGAGTGTCCAAAGGAGGGCAATGAAGGCAGGGAAGGGCCTGGAAGGGAAGCTGTGTGAGGAGYGGCTGAGGRCACTTGGTCTGTTCAGCCTGGRGGAGACTGAGGAAACCTCACTGCAGTCACAATTTCCTGGTGAGGGAAARAGGAGGGGCAGGCACTGAACTCTGCTCTGGGGTGACAGTGACAGGAGCGGAGGGAACGGCCTGAAGTTGTGTCAGGGGAGGTTTAGATTGGATATCAGCAAAAGGTTCTTCATTCAGAGGGTGGTTGGGTACTGAAAAGGCTCCCCAGGGCAATGGGCACAGCACCAGCCTGACAGAGCCCAAGAAGCATTTGGAAAACACTCTCAGGCAGAGGGTGATGTTCTTGGGGATGGTTCTCTGCAGAGCCAGGAGTTGGGCTTCCATTATCCTTGTGAGTCCCTTACAACTCAGGATGTTCRGTGATTCTCAACTGTTACTTCTGTAATATGACTGAGATCTCATAGAAAACTGGAAGGATTTATCTACACTTCAGGAACAGCCAATAAATAGTTAACCTGAATTAATGATCACAGACCTCATCTGTAAGCAGTAGGCTTTTTTCAGTGTGAGGACTCCTGAGTCCTGCTGAGTTATCTCACCTATTATCTGGATCCTAGAGCTAAGGAGAGGGTAAATGTCTTGTCAAAACTGCCATCCCTCTGTCAGGATGACCAATAAAATAACTGTGCTAACGAAAGTATGAGTGTGTTCCTTCAGCATCCAGTTAAGTTTATAATGAGATCTGATTTTAAAACTTACATGGCATTGAATTAGCAGAACACAAATTAGTTGGATTAAAAATGTTTCACTGCCAGAGCCTGAACTTTTGGCTGTTTAGAGCATAAGTGTGCATGATCCCTTGAGAAAATGTTTTAAGAGATAAAGGAGTGAATGAGAGCTGGGCAATATTTAGAGATATTTTTCTTAAGGTGCAAGAGCTCTCAATCCTGATGTCCAAGATGTTGGGTAGGGGATGCAAGGCTTAGCATCATCATCACAATAATCTTGTCCACCCCTGTCTCCTAAACATTTAGCACCATCCATCCCATTTTACACTGACTGATGAACATCCCTGGAGTCCTCAGGCTAAGGAAGACATGGACTTGTTGGAGCAAGTCCAGAGCAGATAACAAGCATGATCGAAGGGCTGGAGCACTCCTGCTATGAACACCAGCTGAGAGATTGGATTTGTTCAACATGGAGAAAAGAAATCTCTGGGAAGACCTCATTGTGGCCTTCCAGTACTTAAAGGGAGCTTATTAAAAAAAAAAAAAAAAAAGATGGAGAGTGATCTTTTACATAGGCCTGTAGTGACAGGACAAGGGATAACCCTCTCAAATTGAAAGAGAGTTTAGATTAGATATTAGGAATAAATTCTGTATTATGAAGATGGTGAGACATGGAACAGGTGAGACTGGTGAGATACAGCCCACAGAGAAGCTGTGGATATCCCATCMAGGGAAGTGTTMAAAAAATTGTTTTGATATCCTGAGCAACATCATCTAGTGGGTGGCATGCCTGCCCATGGCAGCRGGATTTGAATTGAATGATCTTTAAAGTTCCTTCCAAACCAAACCAAGTTATGATTCTATGATTCCTTACTTGYGTCTCTCAAATTCATACTTGGCTGAAAAATATTTTGCTGGAAAACAAAGTATTTGACTTAGAACCAGTCTCTGGGGCTTGAAACAAGCTATCTACAAACTGAAGTGATGCAATGTGAAGCTGATCTTAATTTTTATTAAATCTTTTGAGTGAGTAGTGGATTGGGAATTTACTACTAATCATTTTTTCCACTATGCATTTTCTAGACAGAGGGAAATGAGGCATCTTGTAGAAAAAGAGGAGAAAACAAATTGTGTGTTTCCATGCATATCCTCTCAGTCCCCGAAGAATGACTTTTTCCCTCTGTGAGTGAGATAGTTTTGCTACCAGTCATTTKCTTGATTCTAATCTTTAATTTAAGTGCCTGATTCTGAAAATGCCTATGAAGTAGAGAGGCAATCAAGAAGAGGCTTACCTTGCTGGAAAAGCCACCTGGTTAATTTCTCCTCTCCCTCTTCCTTCTGAAGCACCCTAAGCATGTCCTGTTTGGGAATATCCTTATTGCAGTGAACAGCCATCCATCAGCCTCACTCAGTGCAGCGCAGTAAATAAAAGACTATCCATGGTCATTGAGCAGTTCATTTGGGAAATAAGAAAATGCAAGACTGCCCAGCCCAGCCTTCCTGTGTTTAACTGTCCCTAAGCTGTAGGAGAGCACAACCAGAGCTATTCCACATTCTGTGTTCCACCATCACTCTTCAGTTTCAGGGAGCCTCTGGACATCTATTAAGTGTCAGCTCATCTCTGTGAAATCTCTGATCTGGATTTGACAGTAATTTAGTTTGATCACAAAGTTGCAGCAACTCTTACTTTGGATGCAGTCACACCAGGGTAAGGATCCTGTGCCAGGACTGCTTATGCTGATTTCATACAAGACAKCCCAAAGAGTATATGTAGTTTTATGTGCTTTACTTCTCTCTACATGAAGCCCTATTTGAGACTGTGAAGAACTGAGAAGATATCTTTGCCAAATACCTCAGATTGCCAGTGCTTTGTGTGTAATTCCATATTCTTCACAGATCCTTGTGAGTGGCGAGTTACATCTATTAAATMCAAAGAAACTGTATGATAAAATACATTGGCCTTAGAGACAATGTTTTTCCCTACTCAGCTCATGTGCTGACAGTTGGAGCTGCACATAAAAAGCCATCTCTGAAGCCTGCCAGAGACACAATTGCTTTTGGAACATGAACTGAGGTGATGGCAAAGACCTGAGCCTGTATCCATAGTGCTCCCATCGGCAAGGCAGAACACAAGCCCAACACCCACCAGAGGTTCTTTGAACCCCGCACTGCAGGCTGTCAGTGTAGCCAGAAACCCAGCAATCTCATTTATGCAAAAACAAAAGCAGAAAGACAGCTCCTCCTCGTGGGAATAAAAATTAGTTCCAGTCAGACAGCATAAACCCTGAATTGCAAATTACTATGACAATATTTCCTTGTTCAGAAGGGCCTGTCTCATGCCAAAGGAACACCGTTAGCATCAGAAACCCCATCCAAATAAACCACTGGTGCAGACTGCAGAAATAGGATACAAAAGCAAGAGAGAGGCTAGGGCCCTCTCTGTAAAGAACACGCGGCTGTGGAGAAGTATTAACCCACAGTAAACAAGAGAGCTTTTGTTTCAAAAAGTATACTTTGGGCAGTAAGACAAATGTGTTATTTGTATCTTGGCAGTGCTCCCAAATGCCTGCTGCACAAAAGACTGGTGATGTAGTTATGGCCACAGCAGACCCAAAGATACCCCAGGCCCCTGCGTCACCYGAGGACAATTCCCTCTGGGCTGGATTTATCTCACCTCACTTTAGTCATCTAAGAAACAGGCATGCAGGCTGGGTGCTCTGCCTCGGCTCACTTGTGAGGAGGGACCACCCCTTCCAGAAGGGTGACTTAACTCCTCCCTTGAACATCAGGATGGATGGCCTTTGGATGTGCTCATCTCTCCCTGCTGACTAAAGGGGGAGTTTAGAGCAGAGACTCCACTCTGAGCTGTTAGTTGACTACAGCTGGCTRAGAGGAGCTATGCCCTCTGTCCGCTATAAAAATGGGATAAAAAGATTTCTGGCTCTCTTGTCCACTTATACGGCAAGCCAGTGAGTTAGAGTCGACCTCCCTCTGCGCCTCTGTATTGCCTTTGTCACAATGGACCCCGGCAGAACAAACAAAGACTTTTGCACAACCCACGAAGTCCACTGGTCTTGCTTAGTGTACAAAGTGTATGGAATGAGAACAATTGCTTGAATAGGTTAAGCAGGGAGATTACCTGCCTTGAGCTTGTRTCTCTCCTCTGGCACCTGGCTGGCAGGGCAGTGGGAAGGCACTGCCAAGTTCCTACACTCTCTTGAGCACAGGCATGTGAGAACAACAAGATTTTGCTGTGCTGTACAAGGCAAGGACATCCTATGCACTTCACACCATGATTTCTTTTCCAAAAGCTGATTCTAATCTGCTCTTTAGAATAGCTGCTGCCTGCTGAATTAAARAGAGTGTCAGGCCAATTTAGGCTTCTTGGCAAACTAACTGGAACATTTCCAAAGCTCAGATGCAGTGAAAGTCAAGAGAAAAATGTAATTTTAATAGGAAAATGAAATTTTGCAATATTGCAAGCAGAGCATACTCCTTACCAGTACAAATGAAGACAACCCATCTGGTTCCATTGTCAGAGCATAGAGAAAGAGATAAGAATAAAAACATATTTGGGATGATAACAAAGGTCCCTATAGCCACTGTAGCCAAGTATCTTACACCAAAAAGTAGCAATTGTTTAAATTGAGAACCTCTACAAATACAGGTCTGTCCCCTTGTATGTACTCATAGCTTCCAGCAACCCTCGGCTATCAACTTATTATTTCGGTTGGTTTATCCCTCCAACAGCAAACTGGTCCTCCCTGAATCTATCTAAACTCTTTCAAAACCATGTGTATCTCTGTTCTCCAGATCCCAAAGGAAAGAAGAATAGTTCAACAATTCCATTATATATCACATTATCCTGTTTCAAATTTATTTTAGTCCTACAATAATTGCTGTCTATGCCTGTGTATTTCTGAATGTTCATGTCATGGAATGGAAAGGCCTAATCCCTGTATTGAGTGAAATCTCAATTTACTACTTTGAAATTAGGTGAGTCATTGCTATGAGATGCAAYCCCTGCCTCAGAGGATTGTCTGAATTGATCTCAGTGCACTTGTTAAATATTTTAAATCCCTCAATGATTCTTTTGCATTTAATACTTACAAGAGCCATACCCCACTGCAAATAAGTCCGTGTACTTTGGATGCCTGTAATGAGAAAATATATATAAGATTGCATTTATTATTAACCACGTAGTTCCACAGAAATCCAGAGTGTTTCACACATTAACTCCAGAGTCCATTCTCACAGGACCACACACAGACTGAGGGCTCTGCCCTTTGACCATAAGCACTCATAAAGTTTCTAAGTAACGCATCCAAACTCAAGATGCACAAAAAAGCAAACCATCAGAAGACCAAAACAGTAGATGAAAAAGATAAAAAGACAGGCATATCAATCAATATGTCAATCTCCAGCACTTCTTGGCTTATTCATTTCATAACTGCAGAAAGTTTACTTTTAAAAATGAGGTATTTGAGGAAAGCAAAAAGGCAGGTGTATGTTGGTTTCCATYTTTTAGCAGCAAGAATTATGAAGTTTCTGAATCAATAAATTCACTTTTGCTTTCTGTTATTAAATTATGAGAGAGGCTTCAAGAGACAGCTACCAGTTCATGAATTCATGATCATTTCCACAGACCAGGAAAGGAAATTCCCTTCTGTCCCCACTGGTGGACAGCGTATTTCTTGAGGCAAATACTGACTATGAGCAATTAACCATCTACCACATCTTCTAAAGTCTCTTCACTTCAAAAAGCATCTACCCTCTCTGCAATCTTAACTGTGTGTGCTAAGTTACCATAGGYAGGGATTGCATGGGACAAAGATCATTACTGTTGTTAACCCTGAGCTCACACAGCATAACCAGTGGGTAACAACCCTGTGAAATTGAATGTATGTGGAAATTATCTAACGAGTATTTCCTCTGACTTGCTACTGTGARCTACTAAAATAAACCCACTTCTTTATTCATTTCTTTATTTTCATTTGGGCTAATASCTAGGCATCCTAATGCTCTTGTTCTTTTCACTAAATGGACCATCACCAGTAAAAATGAGARAATAAAAATTCATTTAGAAAAGCTTATTACATAAAGCAATTTGGAGTCATTCTTTCAGTTTCAGAACCATCTTTCTGTTATCATTTCCTGAAGTACAACAGAAGTACAAACTTCCCATTAAAGATGCCTTTTCTCCCAATTTTGCTTCCCATTTTAATTGTTTTTCTGCAATTATCACACAATTGCATGTTTGATACTCTGTTATAAGACCTAGGGGAGCACAGGGCAGGGTCTGACTAGGTRTGTCTCATGCTCAGTGCATGAACCACGCCCATTCTGAGGAGCATAAAGCACATTTAAAAGTGAAAGGACTCATTGAGGTTGGTGAGGAGTGGGGTTTTCACTGTAATAACCCCAGSAATAGTATCTCAGAACAAAAGARAATTGATTTCCAAGTATCAGTGATYAGTTTGGACTGATCAAATATGCATAAGTGGACTGCAGAGCAAATGCCTGCTTCAATGAACTGTGCAAGATCCCAATACACAAATACCTCTGTTGTCTGGAGGGGAAGCAGTATGAGGAGTGGCTGATGGCRCTTGGTCTGTTCAGCCAGGAGAAGAGGAGACTGAGGGGAGACCTCACTGCAGTTACAACTTCCCTGTGAGGGGAAGAGGAAGGGCAGGTACTGATCTCTGCTCCGTGGCAACAGTGACAAGACCTGAGGGAATGGCCTGAAGCTGTGTCAGGAAAGGTTGAGGCTGGATATTAGGAAGAGGTTCTTCACCCAGAGGGTGTTTGGGCACTGGAACAGGCTCTCCAGGGAAGGAGCCACATCACCAGCCTGACAGAGTTCGAGAAGTGTTTGGTCAACATTCTCAGGCATACGATGTGACTCTTGGGGTGTTCTGTGCAGGGCTGATTCCTACAGCATATTGCCCAAAGGTATGACACATTCTATTTTAACTTTCCCACGAAGTTTCCCACCTGCTAACCACAATAACTTCTCCTCAGGGCTGCATAGAGCTTACTCTGCCTTCAGTTTCTGCTGAAGAGCACAAGCTTGGCACATTCAGCCTTACACAATCCTCTTTGCAACCGAGCATGTTAAGGTGCTGCCCAAGCAGTTTACTGTAACAAATCAAAACCGTGTTCCCACAGAAACCAGCCCTGCCTTGTAAGATCCCGTTACATTCCACTCCACCCCCCCACTCAATAATTAAGTTTGGAATGAAGAGATTTACCAGCAGATGGCAGTAACTGCAAGTTTCTTGGTTTTTTCAGACTGGAACTTCCAGAGTGGGAGGAGCGTTCCTTCCTGRCCTCTGAATTCATCGGAGGCATCCTCAAAATATTTAAAATCTAAACAAAAAAAAAATCAAGGAAAAGGTCTCAGTATACAAACTGGAAATAAATCAGAACAGTTYAATGTCAGGGAAGCTTTAAAATCTGTTATTCACACAGCCTCTGCACAACCCAATTGCTAGTGTAAAATCTGTCTCAACTCTTAAGCCCTAACTCCAAACCAGCACCTCAGCCCTGTAAATTCATTTYACCAAGCAGCAAATACTCACACACACAGAAAAAATGAAAATCAAATGGCTGATCAGCAGACAAAGGATTATCAAGCAAATAGAAGCCCAGGGCAAGGTGTGACCTCAGGCCACTCCCTGAGATGGACATGGCCCTTCAGGAGGAAGCTTAACAGAGACAGCAAAATTACTCTTGCAAAATGACATCACGATGAGTATGTTGCCATGGATGGGATCTGTATGTGAGCAGGGAGCTGCTCAGCTCTGGTTGCTACTACAAGCCCCTGCATCCAGGAGTGAAGCACCCACTGAGGGAAGGAAATGCTGCAGAAAGGGCAATATTCACCAGACCTGCTGTCCCCAGCCAGCTCAGGGCAGGGCTATTGTAGCATGCTCTTTGCAAGCCCGTGGTCTGATGTACTGTTTGCCTTGTGTGAGTCAGGAGGTTCCTAGATCTGGTCACTTAATCTCTGTTTATTCTATTCTATTCTATTCTATTCTATTCTATTCTATTCTATTCTATTCTATTCTATTCTATTCTATTCTATTCTATTCTATTCTATTCTATTC